AGTCCTTTAACAAGATCTTGACCATCAGTCGCCATGGTTGAGAAGCCTTCCTTCCTTCCTTCCCAGCTAGTCCCCGAGTCGACCTAGGTAGCCACCCCCCCTGCAACCCCTCTGTTGAGAAGAGGACACATCTCCCCCCCACCTCACCCCCAGCAGGGCAGGGCCTGCCTTGAGCTGAGGGGCTCCCCAGCCGCCTACCACAAGCATGGGGTGCTTTCAACTTCACTGCTCCTGGACTCCAGGGCTTTGGCCAGGCCTTGACCAACAGGGAAGCCTTCTCTGGCTAACTGGATGCTGGGCTGAAACAGCTCCTTCCAAGGCAGTTTGCCATGCCGTTGGTGGGCCATTTCGTAGCCACGGATTTCTCCTGGAACTGCAATGGACAATCCACCTGGAGCAGGCAAAAGACACAGAGATCAGGACTCTGGCCAGCCCACTCCCCTCTCATCCAGGACCATCAACATCATTTTGGTTTCCGCCCATAATCTGTTTTCTGCTTCACTATAAACTGACCAGAGATAGTTTGCAAGAGTCATTGACTTAGACAATGCCTTCTTCCTGTTGGAAGTGTCCAAGAAAGAAACACTCATTTTGAGTAGAGTTTTTAAGTAGCATGTAGTTTGTAGGTAGACATCTTTATTACTTGTACAATCAGTAATTACTCTTAATCTCACCTGCAAAGTCTATGCATTTTCAAGGCCAAAAATCATAGGGCTAGAAGCGACCTTAAGGGGACCAACCCTGATGTGCAGGATCACCTAGAGCGTCTCTGATGACCACTCAGCTCAGATCACGGGCAGGAAGGTAAAGGTGGGTGAGTAGATGCACAAGACCACAGAAGACACGAGATACTCAGTGAATCTTCTTGCACAGTGGGTGGTCCTGGCCAGCCAAACCATCCCACACTTTCCTGAGCCTGGTCACTTCAGACTCTCTTGAGGTCCATGGACCCTTGATCCCAAGCTCATGAGGAGGGGCTCCTATGTGCAGCCAGCCACCACTGGCGGTGCCTGCCCGTTGCTTTACCTTTCTGGGACAGAGTGGTGTTCTTGCCAAACATGTCTCGAGATGCATTCTTGGGCGCCACTTCTCTGGCGTTAATGATTTCCACTTTCCCTTGGAAGGTAAGGAACAAGGTAAGTTCTTGGGCAAGTTAATGCATAAACCTATCCAAGCTTTCTGAGTGACATCTTCAAGGCATAATTCAAAGAAAGGTCAGAGATCGGCTTCAATGGTTCCTTTGGAAAGTTTCTGCACTTCAGGAACAAAAGTCATTATGGATGCCCTGTCTCTGTGCCGGTTCAGCAGTCAGTCACCAGCGACTTCTCTGTATATCATTTGACATTGACCTCATGCCTATTTTTTGAAACAGAAGCGTTACTTTTCAAGAGCTACAGTAAGTAGCAACGTTTGGCCCAGCAGGCATATCTGAAATTTGACAGCATTTTAACGGCAATATCGCCAAACAGGAGTAGGGGAGGTCTGTCCACAAAATCTCATTTACCAGAAAAGGAGGAGGCCAGGTTGCTCTACTCCTCATGACCCCAGCCCCAGCTCTACCCCCCCTCGTTCCCAGAAGGCTACTTCATGTTCCAGATAACCGTCTGTGTGCGTGTGTCTCTGTGAAAAGTCCGACAACCTTCTAAGCTGAGCAGGGGTTGAACCACCCAAGTTTTCTCCTCATACCTCTGGAAGCAATGTGTATTTTTGGAGCATCCTTGGAAATATTTAAACATAGGTAGAATCTGGCATTTTGCTGGCAGCATGCCAGCTTTCCCTTATCTTGGTGAATATTAACCCAAATGAAGAAAAGTCTCCAAGGTATCTGGGGTTGCTTATGTGAGCTTGCATGCTGTGCTATAAGCTCACAAATTCCTTCCCTTTCTAATTATTAGGGTGGTGTACACAACCTATTCAACATGCTGAACAAGTCAACCATCCTTCAGGAGACCTCCTACAAGATCTTAGCATGGCTGCATGTGTGTGTGTGTGTGTGTGTTGACTTATCACTCCCACTTGTTTTCACAACACAGTGATTTTACTCTCAGTGCCAAAAGTAGGCAAAGGCCCACTGATCAGCAGAGCTGGGAAGACCGGCCTGTCTTCCGTGGACATTTTCTGGAATCCCTACACGAGGCTACCACAGCTCCTGCCCTCCTTACCCTCTGCTGAGAAGATGGTGAAAAAAAGGCCCCCTCCGATGCCCATGCTGTGGGGGTTCATCAGGCCCACACACAGGAGACTGGCAATGGCAGCATCCACAGCGGATCCCCCTTTCTGAAGGATGTCCCTGCAAGGAGAAAGAAGGAGATCACAGCTGGCCAAAGGAGTTCCCCAAAACTAGGGGAAGAAGAGCAACTAAGATGATTAAGGACCTGGAGACCAAAACATATGAAGAACGGTTGCTGGAATTGGAAATGTCTTGTCTAGAAAAAAGAAGGACTGGGGGTGACATGATAGCAATGTTTCAATATCTAAGGAGCTGCCACAAAAAAGGGGGGGCAACCTATTTTTCAAAGCACCAGAAGGCAAGTCAAGAAGCAATGGGTGGAAACTAAGGAGAGAAGCAACCTAGAACGAAGGATGAATTTCCTGACATAGCAATCAACCAATGGAACGCTTGTTGTGGGTGCTCCATCACTTGAGATTTTTAAGAAGAGACTGGACAGCCATTTATCCAGAATAGTATAGAGCCTCCTGCTTGAGCAGGGGGTTGGACTAGAAGACCTCCAAGGTCCCTTCCAACTCTGTTATTCCATTCTGTTCTGCTGCTTAAGGACTTCTGAGGCTGCATCT